ATAATTATAATAAAAGGAAAGGGGTTCAAAAAGGCCCCGCTAATGGCAGTGTTTTCCCCAAAAAAGAGGGAGGGTTTTTGGCCGGGCCCCCACTTTTTCATTAATTTAAAAATTTTTAATTAAATTTTAGAGTATATATCAGGTTTCTATGTGATTTATATTGTTTTTTTATTTCCCTATTAGGAACTGTGAAAAGATAAAAAAGCAATAGAGTTGATGATTGCGGAAAATTCAAGGGGTTGTTGCCCTGTCTCCAGACAAACTTTGCGGCCCCCGGGCACCACCCCTAAACCCTCCCTGAATGAAAAATTTTTTTAATTCTTTAGTATAAATCAGTTTTATGTTACCAAAATTGTTTATTCATTTTCAGATGAATGTGTAATAAATAAGCCTATGCTGATTTAAATGGGAAAATTTTTCGAAGTATTTTGCCCCGGTCTCCAGACAAAAATCCGCCACCCCCCGAAAAAACCCCTACCACTACAAAAAATTACATATTTTTTCATTTTGAGTGTTTATGAGGGTTTTTTAAAGTTTTTTATATTGTTTTTTATGTCAATTAGAAGAACAGATGGGTAAATAAGCCCTTTAAATTTATTTTGGCGAAAATTTTTTGAAATACCGAATTCCCCCTGGAAAAAAAATTAATTGAATTTTAATTAATTAAATGAGGAAAATTGACCCGCAAACAAGAAAATCCATTGTGCAAGGTATGGGAAAGGATTAAAAATGCAAGTAAGGGTTCCCCCTGTTTTATGAATTTGTAAATATGTTATTTAGCTTTTTTATCCCCCTTTAAAGGGGAAAAAAAAGCTATGATTCCTTTTTGAGCCAAAAGCCCAGGCATAACCCCGCTGTTTCAACAGGGGCCCCCCAGTATTTTTTATTGGTATGTATTCATCCTGTTTGGGAAAAATCCCCCAAAAGTTGTGAAAGAACTTAACCAAGGATCAATAGTTTTATATGGGTGTGGCAAGCCTGAGATAAAAAAGGGCCTCATTGGGGAAAGCATTTCCAAAATTTACATCCGCAAGAGTAACTTTGGGTGAAATTCATTGGAACCTTAAAAAAGTTTATTACTGAGGAAGAAAAAAACCAGACAGATCCCTTTCCTCTATGTTTTTTAACAGTAAAGGGAACCCATAAGTTTTTAATTCAAGTTCAAGGACTAACGTAAACCAGCAAATAAAAATAATTTTCCACATTTTTGCTCACATCCCGGGCAAGGGTGGGGAAAAATTTGGCGTGTTTCCATTTCACCTACTGTCTCGTTCACCTAGCAAACAAATAGACACCGGGGTCTTTTGTTGACTGGTGTTGGTCACTTTCCCGGGGGACAAATTTAAAAGGGCTCCGATAGAAAAAAAGGCAAAAAGGGCCCCAATGACCCCAATGACTTTTTTTTGGGAAAATCCGGGGGGCAAATCCTCCCGGGTTAAAAAAAAAAAAAAAATTTTTTTCTTAACAGTAATAATACATGCACTTTTTCTGCAAATTTCGAGAATCACCCCATAAATTTTTTCCCGAGGCAAAAATTCATACCAAAGAAAGCAACCATCTAACATTTTAAAGTTTTTAAAATTTCGGAATAGCCACTTCAAATACAATTTCTCAAAAAATCTCAAGTCTTTGTAAGGTTTACTCTTCCCCAAAAAAAAAATGCTACATTATTTAAATCCTTTTTTAAACTACTGATACCCCCACATATCGTTTATTTCACCTCAGAAACCCTTGAAACACCAACCCCGAAATACAGGTCGGGCCCTCCCCATCCCGGCAATAAATTTTTCCTCTTTGCTAATTTCAAATTTTTTCAAATTTTATTGACTAAAATTTCCCTCCCTTAAAACTGACTCAGAAATTTTGGCGGGTGGTTGAAATCCCCAGCCCCCAAGCCAGTGGAGGAGAAAGTAGTGATAAAAATGAGGGAAGATGTACAGTCTCCCCCTGTTGAAAAGGTTAATTAAATGTTTCTAAAACCCAACGACTTGTAATTGGCAAAATCACTAACCGGGACACTACAGGTCCCAATGATGCCGGGGTTAGTGATGGCTGGCCCTTTTACTACGCATTTTAATTTTTCTGTATGACTTAAGTGGTGGGTGGAAAAAAATTTCTAGGGTGGAACAAATACCCAGGTAAAATTTTTGATAAAAGGGGAATATGAATATTACATTTTTTTCATTATTTTTTAAAAATAAAAAATATAGTAACAAAATACAATAATTTTATTACTTTTCTTTCATTTTAAAAAATAGTTTCCCAAAAGGAATTTTCATGGCTTATTATATTAACAAAGGTTTTTTTAATAAAAGGGTTTTTTTTCTGTTGGGGGGCATGCAAAAAAATGTAGTTAACTGTATTAGTACAATAGCAGGCACAGAAGAAAGTCACTAATTAAGCAATGCATTTCAGGCAACTAATTACTTAAGAATCAGACAGACAATTAAGCAGGACGTCTTGTGCAGTTAAGTACAATCTTAAATACAATAAGAAAGGTAGCTAATGACAAAAGGTCAATTACAAAAGAATTACATATTTAAACTGATTCAATGATCTTCAGTTTTGTAGAGTGACTGAATAGATGGTGAGGATACAGTAAGTTGCTCAGAGTGCAATACAAATAAAATGGCACAATACGTATATGTGAGAGTTAAGAACATAAGAAACAAGGAACACTGCAGCAGGTCAACTAGCCCATTTGTACTTGTTTTGGCCTAAGGCCAGATTGGCAGGGGGTTGAGTATATTTTGAGACACTAAATCCAAAGATTTTTGGATAGCAATGGCAAGTTGGGTATTGGTCAACAGTTACTTATTTCAGTTGAAGTGCCTCCTTTGTGTGTTGAGGTAACCCTTCCTATTTTAAACACTGTTGGGAAAGTTCCGGTTTGTAACGATTTGTTCAAAAATGTTGCAATAGTAGGTACATTAGTGGCAGTAAATTTGTTAGGTTTCCTGTCTTGTTTGTCAGTGACTGTATTATAATTCTGCTAGCTAGTCTTGATCCTATAGTAGAGAAGAAATCATTTAGTATGTTGGTTGTTTCTGCAGGCTGAATGTGAGGTTTATCTTGCTTAGTTAAAACTGCATTTCTGGTTTTGGGCAGTTTTCAAGAGCCTAGGATTTTGGAAAGGGTTTTCCAGGTCTTTTTCATATTTCCATTTATTTACTGAAACCAGCTAGCATAATAAAGTTATTTAGACTTTCTTATTAGCTTGGTAAATACTGACATATTCCTTGGTCTGTTCCTTATTTATTATGCCTAATCTGAGCTGTTTTTCATTGTTATGTTTTTTTCAGTGGCCCCGAGGATGCTATTTGTTAGCCATGAGCTAGTCAGTCTCTCTGTTGTGATCTGTTTAGTTTTAACTGGACAATATTTATTGTAGAGGCTTTGTGTTCTTTTTGAAGAAAAATTCAGACCTATTCATCAATTTCCCAATTGTCAGTAAACTCTCTGCACCAATGTCACTTAATGCTGAAATAAAGTTATTTACTGATGTCTCATCATGGAGATGAAATGAGAGCTTACTAGTGTCTTGTGGTAATTTACATAAGTTAGTAACGAGAAAGGTGGGGTAGTGGTCAGTAGTGCTGTCTGTGATGATCTGTGCTTTGAGAGGAACTATTATATTGGTCCAGATAATGTCAATTAAAGATGCACTTGTCTCAGAAACTCTTGTAGGTTTAGTTATAGATGATAATAGCAAGCAATTGCTCATGTTTGTAAAGTCAGCTACTTGAGGGAATTCTGCCTCGATGAAGCTTATGTAGAAACCGCCAGTAAATATTAGGTTGTTAATTATTACGCATTTTAGGCTGTTGCTGAAGGTGCGAGTATTAGTATGCCCACAACATGTATGTGCCATCTAAACCACTCTACACATTACTCACAAAATCGTAATGACACAATTGCAAACAAACCATACCACGGGCGGGGATAGAACCCGCGATCAGAGAGTCTCTGATCGCGGGTTCTATCCCCGCCCGCGGTATGGTTTGTTTCACTCTACACATTTATAATGTTGCCAGTAAAATCATTGCATATTTTAAATAAAAATGTACATAAACTTAAAGAAAAATTTAATCCCTAAAACAGATATTAAAACAAATTCTAGGCATATATAATATACATAGATTATACTTTCAGTGTATATACCCTATTTCCTTTAGACTTGCAGGAAAGCAAATCTACCAAGGATTCCAGTGGACATAAGTCACTTGGTGATTTTTTTAGTTTATCGTAAGTAATTTACCCATATGTTATTATATACAGTAATTATAACCACGTAAATCTGTGTAACTGTACTTATGTGTACCTGCACCTAAATAAACTTACCAAATGCTAAAATTAAAAATGAAATTGACTTTTTTTTTTTGAAGGACACAAAATAACCCTCAGTGAAGCAAGCCCCATTGTCTGACTTTCCTGGGTTACCTGGCTTAAAATTAACATAAATTATCACACAAAATCACTAAAAAAATGACTTATGTATAAAGGACCCCAACGGAAATAAGTCACTTTGACTCTGTTGGGTTATCCTAGATAATCTACACATATGCTGCTATGTATAATTTATGTAACTATATATGTACCTGTACCTGAATACACTTACCTACCTATTATAAAACGTAAAAATAAAATTAGCAAAAAAAAAAAACAAAGGTGATGATAGAGTGTTGAGTCACGACCTGTCACCAGCACTACTCTCACCAGATCAATACTACAACTGACCCTCAACAACCTCACATTAACATCATTCTTGCCCCTACAACCCCATTGCTTGATTCTTGGCACTCATATAGTGCCAAGCAGTGCCATAATCCACCTGCTGGCACTATGTCCACTCACTGCCATACACCGTACATACAATCACACACATATTTAACACATCTCCAGCTTCTTCCACTAATGTACGATCCTTCCCCGCCAGGATACCTCTTTTACACTGATAAATGGTGTGAAGGATGATGTGCAGTAATGACAAGAGGACTTACAGGGCGTGTGTGATGGAGTTGAGGAGTAGCGCAGGCGCACGTCCACCCTCTGTGTCCTCCAGCAACACACTGGGAAACATTCCCAGCTGATGTTCTCGCACCACCAACCTAACACTACACCTAACATTGCTTCAAATATTGCTTCAAACACTGCTTCAAATATTGCTTCAAACACTGCTTCAAAATTGTTTCACACATTGCTTCAAACACTGCTTCAAACATTGCTTCAAATACTGTTTCAAACACTGCTTCAAACATTGCTTCAAACATTGCTTCAAATATTGCTTCAAACACTGCTTCAAACATTGCTTCAAACATTGCTTCAAACATTGCTTCAAATACTGCTTCAAACACTGCTTCAAACATTGCTTCAAAATTGCTTCAAACTATTGCTTCAAACACTTTCTTCAAAAAATTGCTTCAAACATTACTTCAAACATTGCTTCAAATATTGCTTCAAACACTGCTTCAAATCATTGCTTCAAATATGTTTCAAATACTGCTTCAAACATTGCTTCAAACATTGCTTCAAACATGCTTCAACACTGCTTCAAACATTGCTTCAAACACTGCTTCAAATATTGTTTCAAATATTGCTTCAAACACTGCTTCAAACATTGCTTCAAATATTGCTTCAAACACTGCTTCAACACTTTCTTCAAATATTGCTTCAAACACTGCTTCAAACATTGCTTTCAAATATTGCTTCAAACACTGCTTCAAACATTGCTTCAAACATTGCTTCAAACATGCTTCAAACATTCTTCAAACACTACTTTAGACATTGATTCAGGTGCCTCTGTAATACTTAACTCCCGAGCATATGCAAAAATAGATCTTCCAAGACGGCTTTGGGAACTGATATCGAGATTTGTGTGGGACCCAGGTGATACCTTCATACCAGACCGTGATACCTCAGTACAGGACCCGGTGATACCTCAGTACCAGGACCTCGGTGATACCTCAGTATCAGGACCCCAGTGATACCTCAGTACCAGGACCCCGTGATACCTCAGTACCAAGACCCCGGTGATACCTCAGTACCAGGACCCCGGTGATACCTCAGTACCAGGACCCAGTGGAGTAAGTACCAGGACCCCGGTGATACCTCAGTACCAGGACCCCAGTGGATGTAAGTACCAGGACCCCGGTGGACGTAAGTACCAGGACCCCGGTAAATGTAAGTACCAGGACCCGGGTGGATGTAAGTACCAGGACCCCGTGGATGTAAGTACCAGGACCCGGTGGACGTAAGTACCAGGACCCGGTAAATGTAAGTACCAGGACCCCGGTGGATGTAAGTACCAGGACCCCGGTAGATGTAAGTACCAGGGCCCCGGTAGATGTAAGTACCAGGATCCCGGTAGATGTAAGTACCAGGACCCCGGTAGATGTAAGTACCAGGACCCCGGTAGATGTAAGTACAAGGGCCCCGGTAGATGTAAGTACCAGGACCCCAGTAGATGTAAGTACCAGGACCCCGGTAGATGTAAGTACAAGGGCCCCGGTGGATATAAGTACAAGGGCCCCGGTGTATATATGTACAAGGGCCTGGTGGATATAAGTGACAAGGGCCCCGGCGGATATAAGTACAAGGATCCCCAGTGGATAAGTAAGTATAATAAGTCAGACCCGGGGATATAATACAAGGATCCCCGGATAGTATAATGGGTTAAAATACCAGGACCCCGGTAGATGTAAGTACCAAGGCCCCGTTGATATAAGTACAAGGAGCCCCGGTGGATATAAGTACAAGGCCCCGGTGGATATAAGTACAAGGAGCCCCATGGAATAAGTACAAGGACCCCAAGTAGTAAGAACAGTAATAGTACAATAACCCCTGTGGATATAAGTCATCTTTGATTTTTTGGGGTTATCCCATGTAATTCACACATGCTACTAAGTATGATAATTGTACTAATGTGTACCTGTACATAAATATACTTATCAACTATTCTTGAAAATAACGAATATCCAGTAGACCACAACATTCTACTGTTTAAATTAAAAGATTATGGAATAAGAATTCATGCTCTGTTATACATGAAATCTAACCTGAGTGACCCCTCAAGGAAGGTTCCTTGATGCTGGTGAGGGACTCTTGATCTAGGGAACTGGAGCTGTGCTCCAGTTCCCTGAATTAACCCTGAATACCTTCCATCCCCCCCCCCATAGGCGCTGTATAGTCCTACGGGTTTAGCGCTTCCCCTTGATTATAATAATAATAATAATAATAATAATAATAATAATAATAATAATAATAATAACCTGAGTGACAAGTTAGATTTCATGTATGGCAGGATAATCTATGTAACTGTATTTGTGTATACCTGAATAAAGTTACCGGCAACAACACTGTGACTATTAAAACTGCTCTTAATCAATATTGGAGTTCCTCAGGGTAGTGTCGTCGACCATCTGCTATTTCTAGTCTTCATCATGACTTTCCAAATGCTTCACAGGAACCTAAATCAATTCTGTTAGATGATGACACAACTTTTTCTTATTTCAAATCTTAATCTGCCTACACTTGACAACGTAGTATGTTAAGCTTGCTAAAATATTTATTTGGGCCACAACTAACAAATTCGAACTCATTTTGACAAGACCTTCTATATAATGTTCGAGAACACAGCAAAAGATGTTCTTTTTTAGCATAAAAATAAACAATACACCGACTGACAGGCAGGACGACGGCAAATCCTTGGGAATATAGCCTGGTGGCTAAAGCTCCCGCTTCACACACGGAGGGCCCAGGTTCGATTCCCGGCTGGTGGAATCATTTCGATGTGTTTCCTTACACCTGTTGTCCTGTTCACCTAGCAGCAAATAGGTACCTGGGTGTTAGTCGACTGGTATGGATCGCATCCTGGGGGACAAGACTGAGGACCACAATGGAAATAAGACAGACAGTCCTCGATGACGCACTGACTTTCTTGGGTTATCCTGGGTGGCTAACCCACCGAGGTTAAAAATCCGAAGAAAATCTTATCTTAACCCATTCTCTCATAAGTCCTCTATTATGTTCCTCAAGGCTCAAACATCCCTGCGCACCAGGTATTAGAACATAAGAACATAAGAAAGAAGGAACACTACAATAGGCCTACTGACCCATGCGGAGCAGGTCCATGTCCCACCCCCGGATTAGACCAATGACCCACCCCAAAAGCTTTTATGGCAACAGCATTTGGTGTTCCCAGGCAGTCACCCATCCAAGTACTAACCAAACCCAACGTTGCTTAACTTCGCTGATCGGACGAGAAGCAATGCGTTCAACGTGTTATGACCGTTCACTCACTCTATTCATACCTCAGCTCATTACGAATGTGACCAGATATAAACATGTAAATAGTTCATTACCATTGTAACCTGTTCAGTTGTCAAAACTTTGCGGCCCAGTTTAGCATTTCTTTTTTTTAATAGTTCAATATGCACCCCATACCCATCCTGTGGGATTATAATAATTTGAGGCCCAGTTCCTGCACCAGTGGTTGGGAACCTGCCGCCCTCTGGGTGAAATATTTTTCTTGTTATGCTAGAAAAATGACAGAATGGGTAATGAGAACCTTCAAAACTAGGGATGGCAAGCCCATGATGACACTCTTCAGGTCGCTTGTTATATCTAGGCTGGAATATTGCTGCACACTAACAGCACCTTTCAGGCAGGTGAAATTGCTGACCTAGAAAATGCACAGAGAACCTTCACGGCGCGCATAACGGAGATAAAACACCTCAATTACTGGGAGCGCTTGAGGTTCCTAAACCTGTATTCCCTGGAACGCAGGCGGGAGAGATACATGATTATATACACCTGGAAAATCCTAGAGGGACTAGTACCGAACTTGCACACGAAAATCACTCACAACGAAAGCAAAAGACTTGGCAGACGATGCAACATCCCCCCAATGAAAAGCAGGGGTGTCACTAGCACGTTAAGAGAAAATACAATAAGTGTCAGGGGCCCGAGACTGTTCAGCTGCCTCCCAGCATACATAAGGGGGATTTCCAATAGACCCCTGGCAGTCTTCAAGCTGGCACTGGACAAGCACCTTAAGTCGATACCTGAACAGCCGGGCTGTGGCTCGTACGTTGGATTGCGTGCAGCCAGCAGTAACAGCCTGGTTGATCAGGCTCTGATCCACCAGGAGGCCTGGTCACAGACCGGGCCGAGGGGGCGTTGACCCCCGGAACTCTCTCCAGGTAAACTCCAGGTATATACTCCTCATTCCATGTGTTGACTCAACTATTTCAACAACTCCGAGCAGATAATACTTCAATCTTGGCTCAAGAGAGACCAGAAGAGATCCTCGCAGATAAAAAAGACCCAAAAATTTGGCACTGGCTTTCTAAATATGGCTAATGTTTTGATCAGTCAACATTTTATGAATTCTGTTAAAAAAACTTATTTTAAAAATCTGTTAAATCTCACAGGAACGTCATAAACTTCACCCAAATTCCCGCACCATTATTATGAAGTTACTGGACTATGGGAATTCCCGGGTGATTTATTTAAATTGACAATTCTTTTTTACAACCGTCTCATTTTCTTACATTTTAAAAGTATTACCCAAAAACCCGTTATTTTCTTGGGGAATGTATTACCCAACAACCCGTCAATTGTACTTTGGGAAAGTTTAAAACCCAAAAACCCGTCCATTGTACTTTGGTTTTATTTCCCAACAACCCTCTCATTTTACTTGGTAAGTATTAACCAAAAAACCCGTCTCATTGTCTTGGTAATGTATTAAACCAACAATCCGTTTCATTTGGGCTTGGGGAATGTATTAACCAACAACCCTCTCATTGTACTTGGTAAAGTATTAACCAACAAACCCCTTCATTGTACTTTGGGAATGTATTAACCAAAAAATCGTCTTTGTCTTGGTAATGTATTACCCAACAACCGTTTATTGTACTTGGTAATGTATTAACCAAAAACCCGTTCATTGTATTTGGTAAAAGTATTAACCAACAACCCCCACATGTACTTGGGAAGTATAACCAACAAGTTCATTGTACTTGGTAAAGTATTAACCAACAATCCGTCTCATTGTACTTGGTAATGTATTCCCCAAACAACCCGTCTCATTGTACTTGGTAATGTATTAACCAA